TCCCTTCTGTAAAAGCCAGGTAATAGCCTGCAACCCTCCCAGGAACGTTGTTATCAGCCTTGTCCACAGTGTGCTGTACCCAATTCCTTCAAGACCCAAAACAGATTAGCACTAAGGTGAGATCCTATTCAGACTTGTACTGATGAGCTTATAGTTGACAGCACTGGACACCAGTTAGAAATAAATGCATACTTTTAAATGACAAAAATAGCTAGCAGTTATGTGCTTGAAAACTCAGCTCTCATGGCTGTTCATCCTTTTTCTTTATGCCACCAAGCTAAGAATTTGTATTCTGAGTTACAGCAGGCAAAGCTTCAGGTAACAAAGGGGCTCTGACCTCATTCCACTAAAGCTATTTCAGTGACGCCTTGAAGCTTGGCATGACACCGCTTTGACATGACACCATTTCTTTGCAAGTGAGGCCAGCAAGAAATTGCTGCTTAGAAAAAAAGGCCGACTTTCAGAAATTTCTCGTGGATCAGAGCTAACCCTAACTTCAGGATAATTTCTGCAAGAAGGGGGATTGCCTGACACAAGGTAGGCAAGCAAAGGGAAGGTTGCTTATCAAAAACTTGATCTCTCAGGGGTATTTCCTTGGCAGAAGCAGAACTGACTTTCACCTTCCCTTCTTTTTTTCAGAAGCTCTGGAGGTTGCTCTCAACAAAATGAGTAACAATTTTAGAACAACAATTTTTCATTGTCGGTCAGTGCCAGAGGAGTGCACCCAGAAGAGCAAACTGGTTCATAGTCTTACAATTTCTGTAGACTAAAACTATAGGTCTACTGGAGTAGTGACCCTAGGAAATAGTAAATGCATGCACTGAAAACATTGTTAACTTGGAAAGGAGATCACAGAGCATAATCCTGTAGAAGCTAGGGAAAAGCCTATTTCACTACTAATTTTCATCCACAAGATTTATTTTAGGCACACCTTATTTTATTCAAAACAAAGTCGATATGGGTATGTTTCCAAACTTCACTTGGTTTAATGTTAAAATAAGCTCTAAAGCACAAACCCCTGTGTCAACCCCAGATCACCTAGGAAAAGTTTCAGCATGGCAGAGCTTTCAGCCGGTTGCTTTGTGAATCGTGATTTAACATAAGTATTTCACATGATTTTAACACCTTCCAAGCATTAATTCTTTCTGCTTATTAAACTACAATGTTGACGCTACAACATCAATGACAATATATTACAGCTATATCTGTAATCTTAAAGGGATATCTAAATCCCCGGTTTTGGTATAATTATAATTCTCATCAAAATCTTTACTGAGGGTAAAAGTTACCAATTTGAGAACAAAGGAAATAAAATGCTTAAAGTAACATAAAAAGTCAATGGTCGTTAAGCAGAGATTATACATGTCATTATGAACTGGCATATATTGAAACATAAGTAATGTTTTTGTAATTTTTATGAATAATGCATTAAACAGAAATAACCAAGTATCTTGCAACAATTTAAGATTAAGAGGATTATTTTGTGTCTTTGGTAAGTGTTTCCTTATCATGTTTTTTTCTGTAATTTGAAATTTTGAATGCTTTTTATTAAGATTTTTCCCAACCCGTCATTTCTTCAATTAGATATATTAATACGTCTTTTAGAAAACTTGACACCTACATACAAGTGGGAAAGTTGCCACTTAGCAAATGAAAGAAGATATGGGAAAGCATCCTAAGTAACTTAGTTGTACATAATTCTTGTTCTTAGAAAAAAAAAAAAAAAAAAAAAAGAAAAAAAAAAAGAGGAGGAGAGGAGATGAGTTGGAAAGAAAAAAAAAAAAAAGGTGAGGGAAAAACAGAGATACTCAGAGATTGTTTTAACTTGAACAGATGCCACTAAGGCAACAGTGAAACGTAGAGCTGTGAGGGACTGTGACACTACAGATGTCATGTGTTCTTTGGTGCAATAGAGATGTCATACTGCAGCAGGCTTGTTCTCTTTCTTTGTTATTTTTTTGTTTGTTTGCTTTGTGGAAAAGCCATAGCCACAGTCAGGAGGGCCACAATTCAGAAGATCACATATGATGAGTCGTTCTTCTGTTAAATTATTTGAAACGTGTATGTTGATGAAGGAAGGCCTAATCATAAGCCACTATGCAGTATCTTCTTCTCTGGCTTCATGGTTCCTTTGGCCTGAACACAATACTTACATATCAGTAATTTATGTAATGAATATTCATAATTTTCTTCAAAGCTCTAGACAGTTTTTTATTTATTTATTTCATCAGACAGCCACTCCCCACCTCTACCTCAGTTGTATGCTGCAGTTCACATTGGCTGTTGCAAGTAGCGTTGCTAGGTGCATGAAGAGTTTAATATTTCTAAATCTCTTACAGGATGCTGTTGTTGCTAAGTGGAGAAGAGTTGCCAGATCCTTCTATAGTTAAACTTCTTACTAAGCAGAAACCTTTCAAGAGCTCGGGGTTTTAATTATAAATGATGATGCTTTGTTTTCTTTTCTTGAAAGAATGTATCTAAATTTTATCAAACACCACATGCAAAAAAAAAAAAAAAAAAAAAAAAAAAAAGGATATTGAGCCTGTTGGGTTTCAACAGATCCTTTCCTGAAAACCATGTAGCCTGAAAAGCCATGTAGTCTGAAACTGTATTTACAGCCTTATGCCAGAAAGATGTCTTTTTGGCAAAAATACTGCATAAACTGTATAAAACCCAAGCAAAATCATAGGGAAGACCATAGAATGCACTTGTTGCCTACCAGCTTTTTGACAATATTAGTTATTGTTGGAGAAGATCAAAACTGAAATGAAATGTATAAGCTCACACATGGAGCGTATTAAATCTCTTCTTAGTAAGAAACTTCTGAAATACTTCAGAACAGTAAATGAATGTAAATACAAATCTAACAGCAAGATTTTGCAGCTTTTACATGTAATTCCTAAATTGTTTGATTTTTTTTTTTGAACAGAATATTATTGCTGAGCATGAAATCCGTAACATTTCCTGTGCTGCACAAGACCCTGAAGACCTTTCTACATTTGCATACATCACTAAAGACTTGAAGACAAATCACCACTACTGCCACGTATTCACTGCATTTGATGTGGTCAGTTTATGAAAGATACTTCCTTTAATAGTGCTTTGTAATAGTTATAGTTCTTTAATTCTGTTAAATCATTTTCAGGATATATAGTGATTAATAGAAGGTACTGTTCATTTATCACATGAAAATACTAATCTACTATGAGGTAGTAAAATAACATCTATGGAGAAAAATAAGGATTTTCTTTGATACTATCTTATTTCATATCTGAAATAATTCACCTATGTAATTACAGATTTTTACTGTAACTTTAGTGCATAGCACAAGAGAAATTTGAAATGCTATTGAAACAAAAATCATTCAAAAACATTAGTATAGTACAACATGTATGAATTCTTTAAACATGTTTATAAGTGAGTCTTGACAAACAATTCTTCTAATCTATGCTACAGCTTTCCAAGAAATTCACAAAAAGCACTTTTGGCCACCCAGTCTGAAATTTCAGAATGTAGCAGATAAATCAGAACTGAATCAATATTCGTTACATTCAGTGCTTAGTCCTGCCGAAAGTCTGACTCAAGAAGTAGCTTAAAATAAGTTTGCATTTTAGACTATGTTCCACTGCCTGAAAAGTCAAGGAAGGACTGGTTTGGTGAGTTCCAGCTTTTTGGCTTTTACCCTCATCAGTCTCTCCAAACCAACCAACAAAGGGTGAGAGGGAAAATCACTTTATTGTGGAGTGGAAACATCCCACGTTCACAATGTGGATGTGGTCTGCTTTTTGGACAGAGATCAGATGTTATCCCAGTAAGTGATTTCTTTGGATTTCTTAGCCCAACTGCTCCACGGGTTTCAATGTTTAGCTGAATTAGTCCCAATAACGCAAACATCTTTCTAAGTATTTCTTAAACCTTTCGGTATTGTATTGAATAACCTGGTAAACCGAAACTTCTGCAAACGTACAGGGAAAATATGAAAAGTTTTATTCTTACTTCAAACAGACAACCAAAAAAAAAACTTAGATCTGAGAAAGAGGAGACCACACAGAGAGCTAACTACATATCTCTAGAGGTCCTAGGAATATTTGGCTACCACACTAAATCTCATAGATTTGAAACATCTGTGGTAACAGAGATATGGGCAGAACACTGTCATTTTATGTTCCTGTGTAAAAAGTTACACCTGTAACCATCATCAGATTATTATGGTCCCTCTGTTCTCTTATGCTCTCTGTCATGGAAGTGGGAGTTTTAGTTTAAGAAATAATCCAGATATGGAGTTTGGAGAAAAATTATTCTGACACCACCTTTTCCTTTTGAAAGCAGATTGCATTTATTTGGAAATCAGTCTCAAAACTCTTATTTCAGTTAAAAACAAATAGTTTCCAAATACCATGTCTTCATTTATAGGTCTAATAATCACAGACCCGGGTAAAATTCATTTTCCAGAATAGTGATCCAGAAATAATTCTAACATTTTGCTTACTTCCCATACCTTAGGAGGAGCATTTAATACCCCAAGCACTTTAATGTTTCCATATTGCTTAAAATAGCTATTTAATGTCTAACTGTCGTAGTTTTTTTTCTCCTATATAATCCTCAGTCGGGCGTTATCTACTGAAATATTCTTTTTGTGTATGTGTGTTGTTTTATGTTTCAGGATCTAACATTTCTTATGGAAGTACAAGCTCCGTGAAAAAAAAAAAAAAAATCTAAATATTCAGAACATAAGAATACAGTAATTTAAATTTTCTATTTAAGTCCAGCCTTTATGGAGCCTGATCTTACAGTTTGCTAATAGAAACAGTCCTGTCATTTTTTTAGTAGATAGAAATCCAACCATGGTAAGAAAAGTAAAGTTCAAAATGGTAAAACCCACAATAAAGTATAAAAAAAGATGCATCTTATATATATTATGGTAATATAATATACAGTATTAGATGATTTTTTTTCACTCTCTTAGGTCCTTCAACTCCCCAGGAAATGTGGGGAATAGCTTTTTTTTTTTTTTTTTCCCAAATAGGAAAGTATTTTAGTGTAACATGTCAACTACCAGCATTACTGATGCTATTTAGAAGTGACTGTACATTCAACTTCTCTACTCAGAGTTATAATGCTATAATCAAAATTGGAAAAAACATCAGACTTGCTTGAAGAATATTGAAGGACACAAGGCTTGGGGAGAAGAGGATTTATTGAGCGATATTTGAAACCCACTTCACTCATTCACTCAGAAAAAACAACCCTAAATCTACCAGTGAGGGATTCCTACTGGAGAAATAAGCCATCATAACAGTCCCTGTGCCAAAGTTCAGTTCATATATGGGAGACATCCAAAGTAATTTCAGTCAGGTATTCTTTCATTGTGCAACACACCAATTAATAGAAAATAATCTGCATAAACTGGAACAGTATCTGCTTTTGTTCATGCAAAGGGCCTGACTAGTGCTCTGCATAACCCAAAGACTTTCCTTTTCTGTATTCTTCTGTCCTTCATTGCACAGATTAAGCTGGATAAGCATTGGAAACTGCTAGTATACATATATAGCAGAGATGAAAAAACATGTTTTCAGGTCTCAAAGTTCTCTTTATTGCCTTCTTCCAGTGGATTTGGAGACTGAAATTTGTTTTGGAAGTTGTTATTTGTTCACATGACCATCCAGGTACAATCAACATAGCATCTGCTTGTCCTTGGAACAGAACACTTCCTTCCTTTCCAAATCCTAGAGATGGCATGCACAGATGCTATCCTCTCAGGGGCACATTAGGCAGAATGTGTGAAAGCATTTTAATTTCTCCTCACAACCTTCTTGAGATGGAACACACTCAGGCACAGAGAGCTTTCAGCTCATGAGCAAATGAGTCTCTCCTCTTTGTCTAGTCTATATAGATAGCTTTTGCAGCAGTCTGAAAAGCACAATTTGAAGGCCTGTTTCCATCTTTTTATTGCATACAATATCTCACTGTGCCACATTAGAAGAGAGGGAAGGATTCAGAAGAGTTTGACATACATCATTGCTTTAAATCCACAATGAGAAAGGATCAAGAATTTAAGTTGCATGAGTGCCTGTTCATGAAAACCTCATGCAGCCCAGGAGTCCACAGCTGTTAAAGGCAAATGCCAGGTGTGCTTCTCTCATCATACCAGCTTTGGTGAGCTGAGCTTTCTTCCCCTTGAATGCACAAAGGGTGACGCATTAGAGTGCAGACAAATGCAATGCACGTCCTTTCAGGTGCCCCCAAATGTAAATGTTTTGTGGTCTGGAGGGTAAAGCATCTGTACAGTCAACAGTGTAAACGTACATGTATAACAGCTCTACACCCAAAGAACTCTATTTACTAATAAACAACCTTCCATATTTATCAGGTTTTTATAGTAGAAATCCTTGATGTCAGGCCTTGAAGACCATCATGACTAAGAATTGGGCAAATGATTACATTCCAGGGAATGGAAATTTTGAGCTGGGATAGAATTTTCAGATTTTTCAAGTTAAAATTTCATGTACTGTGTTCGGTTTGGTTTTACCTACTGGAATTTTAAGTTCAGTACATTGCAGAGAGGATCTCCTAATTGACATTCCTACACAGCCGATGAGGTGGGTAGCTCATACCAATTATCTGTGCGATACCAAAGGAAGCTTCTCCAGTAAATTCAGTTTAAAGACCAAATATAACATTGATCATAAAGGGGAAAAAAATCATTGCCTAAAAGCAGAAACCCATCAAATCCTCAGTATATCCAAAGTGTTTTTCAAAAAAAAAAAAAAATCCCTTGCAAGTTACATTTTAGTTTTTGTAGATCAAAAGACAGAAATTAGCAATCTTGCTCTCATTCTTAAAATATTCCTGAAGCCTCAACATAGCTTTATGGAAGCATGAAAATACAACGAAAAAACAGTGCCTGCTGCAACTTATGCAGGAAAAAAAAAAAAAGTAGCAAAACAATTAGCTGTTGTAATTGGTTGGTTGAATTAAAGTGGTTGAAGAATACTGACTCAGACCTTGCACTAAGGAATTGAAATATAACATTACACTGGAAACAAGGCAATTGACCTCAGTTTCTCATAACACACAAATTAAAGGCATTAGCTTTACTTTCCTTCTCTGCCATGCTGAGCAAAGAATGGGCTTGCAGCAGCACTCAGAATCACCATGGTCCTAAAAAGTTTACCTCCTTTCCAAGGAGCTTTGTGGGGTGACGTAAAAGTCAACGTCCTCCATGGTCTACAACTTTTGTTCTAGGCATCTCTTGGGTAGACAGACTTCTTTACTTCCTTTTGTGTTATATGTTTAAAAAATAATAATAATAATAAAATGGTGTGCTCAGTCCATCAGAAGGATTTACATTATGGTTTTTACAGTTGTTGTCTTCCTCCCATATCCTCAAGGGAATCCTGTTCTTACCTCTCCAGTAATAGCCCATCCAATATATGCTAACTCTCATCTTCATATTCCTCCCTTAGTACTACAAGTGAGAAATCTCTCAACCCAAACCTATTTACTTCTGTTGTGTGTGTGTTGTGTTTTTTTTTCCAATTAAAATTCTGCAGATACTTTGTTTGAATTTTAAAAGGTAAAATTCTAAAGCCCTCCATTATATCCAAGTGAAGTGCGCGCTTCACTTCTTCAAAGCTCTATCACAGTACACCATGTGTGACATTTATGCACAAGTTATGGTTCAGTTTATGTTTAGAATAATGAACAGAACAGTACACACTTTGCATTGTTTGCCATATTTCAAATCTGTATTAACTATAGAAACAGCTACATGTTTGCATGCTCTAGGCAGGCCTATTTTTTTTCATTTTACACACTATACAATAAAACAAACCATAGTAGCTTACGACAAGATGCAGGACGCAGACTACATTTCCCATGTCTCAGCATGGCAGACTCTCTGCTTTTCTCTACTCTGATCTCAGAACTGTTCAGTCTGTCTCTCAGGGACCTTTATGTATACCTTCCTGGATAGTGCATTCTCCCATTCCCAATAGTATTACAGTCTGGTTTTTCTCCAAACCTTTATTACACCCTGTTCTGTTGATGTATTCCTTTACCAATAATAATATCCAATGTAGATAATCCCACAGTGATATAGTACACTACTTTACTGTCACAACAGCACATTAAGATGTCGTTAGAATAATATCCTTGCACTACTAATATGTGCAGTCTATTTCAAATAATACTATTCTGTACCTTTTTAACAATTATACTCAATTGGTCTTAATTCTATAACTAGTGTCCTGCTAAAAGGCAGACCACTTTATAACAGTCTCTTTAGCTTTTCATTTATGACTCCACTGGCAAACTGTAACCTCAGTATTTCTCAGTCCTGGCCAGTTTCCTTAAATTAAGAGGGAGACAATTTGGAGACTATTGCTATCAAATCAGACAAACATTTTTATTTGGGAAACTATGTAACTTTGGCTAGCTTGCTGTTGTTAATGCAGTCATAACAGCTGAGAGGATGTCCCAGTGGAGGAGTATAATTGTTTTCTCTCTGACCTAACAAAGGCCAGAGTTGGCACCTTTATAAGAAGCTTCTGTAATGAGCCAAATAGGCTGAATTTAGCCTACACTTTTTCTACAGAGTATAAAGACTCTCATTACAGAGAATGTGTGGGTTATAAAGTACATCATTCAATGTAGTGTGATAACAAAGGGATAGAATTTCTTCATGACTGCAGTGAAACTGTAGTATATGGCATGAAATAAGACACATAGTCTTTTAACTATTTAATGACTGAAGGGCAGATAGTGTATTTCTGCGTGTCTTGCACTGCTTTCTCACTTATTACAAACTCAACAGTTAGACTTGACAAGCTAAAAAGATGCATCACATAAAATTGCTACATCTGAAATTACATCAAAAGCATGTAGGTGTTTTAAGGGCTCACCTAATTTCGAAGCATACAGGAATGCACCCAGCTGTGGGCTACAGATGTTCAGGAAGGAGAGAGTAACTTCTGAATCAAATCCAAGATGTATGAATTACTCTAAGGAGAATGCAGGACATAAGAAAGCAAGCCTGCAGGCTTGTGTTTGCTCTGCAGGTGTTCAAAATATTATTGGAAAGTTTGTAGGAGCCTATAAATAAATATACCAAAACAACCCCACAAACCTGGAGGGGAAAAAAAAAAAAAAAAAAGACTCTCACTTGCAGTTTGGGAGGTCTGAAGTAGAGGAAGGTGGAATGTCAGATACCCACAGCAGTCCAAGATGGGTGAGGTCTCAAGAACAGCAGATACAGGGTGAGGTGGGAAGGGGTGGAGGGGTTAATGACTTGTTTGAAAAAGAGGTGACACCCATCCACCCACCCCTTTTCTCATGTTTAGTGAGATAATGTTTTCAAAGTTTTTTAAAGTAATTATTTTAACTACAGTAGATTACATATAGATTGTCCTTAATCAATGAGAAATCAAATAACAGATGTAAATATTGCAGATATTGTTTTTAATTATTTTCATTAAAATGCATTCTGTAAACAGTACTATGCCACTTCTTATATCTAACAATAACTCCACCTAACTCCAATTTTAAATGTTTTTGTTTTGTTCCAGAATTTAGCTTATGAAATCATTCTTACATTAGGACAAGCATTTGAGGTGGCCTATCAGCTTGCACTACAAGCACGAAAAGGGGGCCATTCTTCAACACTCCCAGAAAGCTTTGAAAATAAACCCTCTAAACCTATTCCAAAACCACGTGTTAGTATTCGGAAGTCAGTGGTAAGTAGAAAGGAGTGGTGCATGCAAAAAAAATAATAATAATAATAACAATAATACTAATAGTAAGCTATACAGTAAGAATTGATGCATGTGTAGAAGCTGTGTAAGTTAACACACCTGTTGAGTCAGAAACTCTCCACGTCTCAGCTGTGCTGCCTCTGCTCATCACGTGGTGGGGTTATGTCACTGCAGTGCAGGAAGCCACTCAGAACTGCCCAATTTGTGTTCCTCTGGTTTAGAAAGTTGCTTGACTAGTGTTGAACATATCTCTTTTCTAATTATTCCAAAGTTTTAATTGATTCAGCCTGATTTCAATGTATTGTCCTCTTTTAAGTGTTGTGTATCACAGCCAATGCATACATTTAAAACTATTCAGTTCCATGGACTTCCTGGAGCCTGTGTCAAGAAATAAAATCAGCACTAAACCTATCTTTGTTACACAATCACTGCATGTGCAAATCAGTATCTCAAAAATGTTGATGTTTGATTTGGGTATGATTGCCAGATGATGAAACCTAATCAAATTGCAAATCCAAATCAATCTACAGTGATCTTCTTGTCACACCAAACAACTTCGTTTCTTTCTTTTTTTTTCTTTTTTTTCTTTTTTTTTTTTTTTTTGACCCTCCACAGAACCTCCTGTTTCAGAACAGGGTTTCAATACCCTTTTCAATATCTTCTTTGGAATCCCAAATTCCTAAAAATCCTAGGTGATCAGAGCAACATATTGATTTTCTTTATATTTTCTTGTCATCCTAGAGTGCGCAGCTGACAGCGAAACACTCTTTTATGATACAGCTATTCAAAAATTACAAAAATTATTTTAATTCAAGTGAGCGTAGCATGATCATGTAGTTGACTACATAGTGTATCATATTCATTGGCTATAAAGGAGAACCATACTCTGTGATATTTAATTCTGGGATGAGGGGAAGGGGATATATATACATGAACGTGTACATATGACCATACACTTTCTTGTTCATCACCATAGGATTTTAAGAAAGAACATTTCCTGATGCTATCATCTGTCTCAGTACTGAAAGGACTTTGCAGGATCAAATGTTGCTTTAAATGTAGCATTAACAAGCTTTGATGCGCTAGAGCTTAGGGATCAGCACTGCTCTGATCTAAACTGTAAATCAGGGCAACCATCAGTAGGTAGACGGGAATACGGACCACTGCAGACTACTGCTGTAGACATTAGAACAGGGCTTTATTGATAAAGGTTTTGTGGTGTTTTCTAGTATTTATTTTTTTTTAAGAAAAAACTTCTACTAGAAATGCTGTGTGCAGAGATGGTAACCCATCTGTTTATCTGCATTTTTTTTTTTTAAAGCAAATAGATCCATCTGAACAAAAGACTCTTGCGAATCTACCATGGATTGTTGAACCTGGACAAGAAGCCAAAAGAGGCATTAATACCAAGTATGAAACTACAATTTTCTGATACAAAACTCTCCCCCTGTTCCTTGTTGTGCCTTGCACTCCAAGCAGTCACAGCACAGCCTTTCCTTTACGGCAACGTTTCAATCCAGCAGAGAGGAAGACTGCACTGTATGAGTGGCCTTGTAACTAACGAAAAAGGCTGATAGTCATTTCTGGTGATCTTCTTCCTGCAGCACTGACAGAAGAATGACACTATATGAAGACTTTTAAAATTACAGTCCACAAGAGGAGTGAGAAACATTATTTTTCACACAGTTCTCCCTTGTGACTTTGCCACAGTGCTTTCTTTGATTTCTTATTTTAGAATTCTACTTTTTAAAAAAACAAAAGGTCTCCTAACTAACACTAATGCTGCCTACAAGTAGGATATTTGATTGGTTTTTTATTTAAATCTTGGCAGTTTTTAATTGAAATAGAACCAGAATTAATAAATAGAGTATTTGTGAAACCACTGAATTCATTAATAATTGCTGTGTTGAATAAAGAACTCATTAAAGTGACAAGAAATTAGGTACCCTGATTTCTGTGTGCGCTGGTTTTATATGTAATCATTGGTGTCCTTTGATCCTCTACAGAAATAGGAACTTCTTGAATTGTAACAAAGGATCAGAGTTTTATGAATGGATAGAAAAAAAGTATTAATAATGCACAGAAAACCTTTATTAGATATTTTTATGGAAGAGAAAAACTATGGGAAAGCATATGAGTATTTATGGAAAGGAAGCCAGATTAATTATGACAAATATTGTTTATTTTAAAGTTGATTAAACCATTGCTATTGCAGCATTATGAAAATTATAAAAGTTGTAGCATCAGTGCACTGGATGTTCCGTGTGATCAGTCTGGAATGCAAGTGGAATGAATGGTCATTCTACTACACCTACATAATAGTTTATGCAGTTTGACATTGCTATAGCCATGAATTCTACTAGTATTTTTTAAAATAATCTCAGTGGTTCTAAAACAAAATCAAAACTCTGGATTTTGCTATCAAGATTTCTGTCACAGAAAACTTGTTTGGAAGATTGTTGATAAAATTATACTGCAAAACATTTTCTAAATAAAAATGGTGAGAAAAAGAAAAAAATTCCAAAGTAATAAAAATGTTTTCATGGAACAAAATGGTTAAGCATTTGCTTAATATTTGATTAAATAATATTTACTTACATTTTCTTTAAAGTGTTTTAATTTTTTTAATGTCTGTGGAGTATTTGTATAATACCATGATGTATATTTATGTAGAACTGAAATTATAACAGTACAAATATCACTATAGGAGAAAAATGGCATTTTAACGTATATTGTTCTATCCAGTCAAATTGTGAATCATTTTGAAGTTCATTATAGAGATATTGATAAATTGTGTGGTTGTCTTAACGTTTTTTTAATTATTATTTCATATCCAGCTGAGATTTTCAGTTAGAATGGTCAGTTGGTAAATTCCAAAAATGGATAACTGAACTTGGTTTAAACCTGATAATTGTATATGGTTTAGTTAAACCTAATCATAGCGCTGAGTGATGACATACTTTTAATACAGTATTCAATTTACTTGAACAAAATAGTTCCTTGTACATATTTTGCCTATTCACTGTTGATATGTACGTAGTCAACTGGCAGTAAAAAACTAACACTAAAAATATGGTACCAAAAGGAAAATTGTATAGGAGAACAGTAAATAGTAGCCTCACTGCAACAAAAATTATGTAAATATGCTTGGGCTTCCAGTTATAAATTTTGTAATTTTGTCATTTATTTATATCCTATAAAAGCACACAAAATAAAATGAAGTTGTACAGTCACAGGACGTTGTGCGTCATTTTATCATTGCTAAATGAAACAAGGGGCTGAGCCAAGGGATACTGAAGTCAGGGAAATGTCCTCCCTTCCCTTCCCCCAATTTCACTGGGCTTTCGATCCTGTCCCACGCAAACTCAGGCATTGCTGTGGAGACAGCTTTATTTTAGAATACAGATTTTGTTTACAGATGGTAAACAGCTCATACTTTAAAGCCCTTAATTAACTGTTGTTTTTTTCGGTGCACTATTCAACTGCTGACTTTCCATATTTAATCGCATACTCTTAAGAGTTGCAGGGGAAGTTATGTTAAAATGAATACACTTCAGACACCAAAAGTATTAAAATGTCCAGATTTTCAGGCTACAAAACTGGGTAGCTGAGTGACCCCTACAATTAAAGGAAAAGGCAGGAGCTGTAACACAACCCTAAAATATAAGGGAAGTGAAGCAACAGGAAAGATGGCAACTTGGAGGAGAAATTTGATCCTGGTTTATCAAAGAGATATCAAACAGGTGAAGTGGCACAGCAAGCAGCTGGACTTGTTTGGGAGAGATAATAAGGGGCAAAAGCAACTGAGGATGGCTAGCAAGACTGATGTAAGATGAGATGGATGAAAGACTGTTAGGACAGGAAATGAGTATGAAGAGTATAGTTTGGGGGGACAGTGAGTCAGTGAATGACTGGAGCCCCCACAGCAGACATAAATTGAAACTGGAAGGAAACATAAGAGTTAACGGGCATAAGGTACTTCTGTATTTGCAGAAACTTGGGATTTTAGAGGAAACATTTTCCTGCACTAACTAATTAGTCCAAAAAGGACTAACTGATTTTACATAAGCCCACTGGAAGCAAATTGATGGGGTCCCCTCTGTCATGGGACAATGGATCAGCATTCCTTTCTTCAGAGCCAAAGAGAACTTCTGTGAACACAGGACACAAATCTGCACTAAGCCAAAGCAGTTACTACTTGAACATTAGTCCTTTTTGTGAACACATGACTTTTTTTTTTTTTTAAGTCTGTAGGATGCTGGCATTTTATAGGAAGTAAGGAGGCAATGGTCAATCTTAAAAGTGAAGGTAGAAAAAAAAAGCCAGACACCTCCAAAAGATCAGGAAGTGAGGAAGATTGCTTTTCCTGCTCTCTACTCAAGGTAAGAGGGAAGCAGAGGCAATCAAGGAGA